GTCCAGTGAAGCCACACACACACACACACACACACACTCACACTCACACACACACACAAGCTCTTTCTGACAGTCATCTGATTGCATGAGGTTTTCTTAAACGACCATCTCTCAATGGTTTCACACGGATTTAAGCACAAATGGCTGCAGTGTTCATATCACTGCCGCCCCTGAAATCTCACAGCTATATTTCACATGAAAGAGTACGAGACTGAGATTTTAAAGCTGCTTCACTCATTTATTTTATTAGCTTTTAATGAACGTAATTAGATGGCAAGTAATTAAATGTAATTGTGCTCGCGACAACCTCCCCCATCGTTGTAAATTGGCCCAAACAACATGTGTGGTGTGAGCAAATTTGCTGGATTAATTGGGGACAGATAATATTTTTGGATTGTATTTCACACTAAATGGCGGCGCGCCGGAACAAAGAGTGCGGCTCGAGCTCATTAATCTCTGTCAGGGGAAGCTCGGTGTGATTTGCATGACTGAAGTATGCTGTCGGCCGCCTTTGATTCCTGCGAAGCTTCAATCAGGGCCCAGCCTCCTGACGGACTGACCCACCAAAACTCAGCTTCTGCTGAGTACTAATTACTCTGACACCATTCCAGAGCAAACGCAAAACCTTGACAGTATGGCCTTGTTAGGCCAGATGCATTTCTGTCTTTGTAATGCGCTGATGTAAACTTATTATGCAAGCTTAATTTACATGCATCACTTTCCAGGCTGTTTGATTCAGAGAGAGGTCAGTCTCCCAGATTTATAATTATCACAATCGTCACAAACATTAACATTAGTAAGCCAGTGTGTGTCGTCACGCCTCGCACTGGGTTTTTTTTCTCCCTTTTCGCCATCATTTCTAATATCCTGGAGGCATTTTTCTCATTATCAAATATTGTTTGATGTCTTTGTTTGGTGATGATTAACGGCAAGCACTGAAAATGCAACGTGGGTCTCTGAAGGAGAGAGATGCACGTGTTTTACGCATGCGGTCATTTCTCAGGACCATCGTTAGAGTGTTTTCACTCATTTATCTTCATTGTGCATGGCTTTTTAAGCTCAGTAAATGAATCTATTAGCGTCTGAGGTTGGAGTATTCGATTGCATTCTTTCACATCTGCTCCTGTGATTGTTGTTGTTTTCCTGCACTGGTGCAGTAATGCTTTTGTGGTTGATATGTTTGCATACGAGAGCGATTGAAAACCCATGATATTCATGACACAGCAAGCAAACAAACAGCCAAGCAGCCCTCGCCGTGTCACAGCGAGACTGAAGATTTGGGGCATTGTGTCTTTCTAATGGCATTATCCAGTGAGATCTAAAGCAGAGAATAATGGCAGATATGAGCAGAGGCATTGTGCGGCGTCTTATTTAAACACATTTTGAGAGCGAGGCAGACAGAGAGAGGCAGACGGGTGGCTAAATGAAAGGTTATGCTTTACCCTGTGTTTGTATTGTCAATAACTGGAGAAGGCTGTCAAGAAAGTGCAGAGATAAAGGTCAATAACTCTGACAAATGTGTTTGTATTTGAAGAGCGGCGCTGATAGCAGCCACAGCATCACAACACTGCAGCTCATAATAACACACTCATTATTTTAACAGACAGAAACACAAGCGACCTAGTGACACTCAACTGTGTGTGTGTGTGTGTGTGTGTGTGTCAGGAAAATGAAGCGCACTGGATATTAATCTGCACATTCATTATTTCATTTATTCTGTAGAATCCATAAATTGATGGACTTTAGCTAAATACACACATTCATACTGCTGTGTGCTTCAGGATCTCTTCATTTCATATTATTCACTGCCAAATTAATGTCACAAATAACCTTAAAGTCATTCTGTATTTTATATGAATAAAACTTTTTAAATAAAACCAATAATTAATAAAACATTTTAAATAAAACCAATTCTGTATGTTTTGTATGTACGCAGAATTAAAAAAAAAAAATTGAGATATTTCAGGATTTTTGTGCACATTTTTACCATTTGATTTATTTGTCATTTCTTTTTTACATTTATAAATATAAAAATATATTTAGAAATGTACTATTCAAATTAACAAAATTATGTATTGTCTCTATATTTTTTATTTGAATCTTCCAGTTTCAAAACTTTTAATTCCCTCTGTTTGTAGATGAATAAATGTAAATGTAAATAGTAGCAGAAATATTATTGCTACAAGGAAGCTGAACACTGTTACTGTATGAGTATTTATACTGTGTGTGTGTGTGTGTGTGTGTGTGTGTGTCTGTAGATATAATAACAGAAGAAATGCTGTTTATTGACCGTTTCACAACAACAAATGATTGTGAAAGATTTCCATCATTTCTAATGTTTGTTGTATGTCATGTAATTTTCAGTTTCATGTTTTTCTTTGTTTTCATTTCCTTTTTTATCTAGAAAATAAATGCTGCATTTTTGTGTTTGTTGGTTTTAGGAAGCAGATGATATGAAAGTCTATTTCCACACATTCAGGGTAAGTTGTGTGAAGCATACGTGTAACTCCTGCTGGGGAATAAAATGCATGCAAATGTTTGTATTTTTTGTATTTTTTGTTTTTCAGTGAGATGTACTTTGAGTGCCTGCGCTGGTTCCACTGGGAATATGAAGTGTTTTTGTGTTTCTGCAGCTCGGTTAGCGTTCGGCGTGATCTTATAAACTCAGGGCTGTTTCTGTGTGTTATTGGCCGCCGTGTTGTGCGGCTCTTTTGTGAAGTAGCTGTTCTGGCATTCTTTCATTATCTGGAGCAACAAAGAAAGTCTTTTGTTTGCAGTTTTCCTGCAGGCGCCTCCATCCGTCTGTAACTTACTACTGTCCCCTGCTGGCTGTCCACAGCACTCTACAGGACCCCTGCGCTCTGTGGGTGTGCTTTCAAACACTGATATTTGGTGCACATTTACGTAAGGATGTGTGTGTCTGCTGTGCTTCTCCTCAAACCCGTGTGTGTGTGTGTGTGTGAGTGTGTGTGTGTGTGTGTGTGTGTGTGTGATGTTTGGAGCACATTTATGTAAGGATGTGTGTGTCTGTGCTGCTTCTCCTCAAACCCGTGTGTGTGTTGAGCTGCAGTAAATGTGTCCGGAGTAACACACACTGGACTGCAAACGCTGGGAGGAACGGCTCATCTGAACACCACTGTGTTTGCTGGGTAAATATGGCTGATCTTCAGAATAAGCCCTGCAGAATTAATGTTGTAAGATGATACGCATGAATGTGTTTATTCTCTGGTCCAGAGTTTTGTTTCGATCGATCATTAATGTGCCTTCATGTGCTGCTCTTTGTGCTGTTATTATTTCCTTCTCAGGGTTTTTCTGCGGGGGGTTAAACGTCTCGGCTGACAGTTCACGGATGTGCAGTCAGGTTACTCATGTCAAATGACCAATTAAAGGGGCTATAGAGGATGGCAGGGCGGTCTCTAGTGCTGCGTCTCGTGGGACACCAATCAAACGAGAGCTCTATCACTCAAATGTAAACTGGATTCATTCATTAGCCATTTACCAGCCCTATAATTATTCATTACACACATGCACAGAGAGACGCGTCTGCCAGGACAAAACCCAGAGCAAGATACAGTTCTTCTGTTGCAGTGCATCCCAGATATTATTAAAATGATAGTTACAGATACAGGGGAAATTTTTATTTTGTATTATTCATGCATTCTGCATTTT